TAGTTGGAAATGGAACCGGCCATATGGTGCTTCAATGATTGGAGGTTTGCTTGTGCGTTGTTCTACACAGCAGAAAATACATACGTTCTACTTAAGAACTTTGTAAGCCAATATACTACAGTTTCATAGTCACGACACAGCAGGGCTTGTGAAAGACAACACTGGACAGCCAGAAAAAAGTTCTGACATTTAGTAACATTTGTACATTTTAATATGGACCCAAGATGCTTTTGATAGTTAAAGCTTAACTATCATAAATATATTTTATTGAATTGATGTGAGCAAAATAGAGACTATTTCCGATGGTATTTTGCATTGTAAGTGAAAAACAAACAAACACTGATTTGAATAAGAAGCTGCATGGATTTTTCTTTACATCCTGGAAGACATTTTAAACACCAAATGCAACAATACTGTTGAGATTATCAGATTGGAAAAGCTCTGAAGGAAATACGGGGAAACACTGTGAATGGCTTACATTTATCTATAATATGTTTACCTTACTTGCAGTAGGATAGTACTGTATGAGGTGGGAATAAATCTGGGATATTAAATGAGAGACAAGACTACACAATTTCCTAAAATAAAAAAAAATAAAAAAAGAGGCTATAATATAATTTCCCTGAGAGTCCAGAAACCACTGAAGGATTTGTCCATTTACATAAGGCCCTTGTATTCCAAAATGAGTCAAGGAAAACCATTTAACTGTAGCTCTAGTCAAGCCCAACAAAGAGTTAAGCATTTTAAATTCTACACTGAAGCTAAACTGTTCTTGAAATTCAGCTGGCAGCCAGCCTTGCTAGTCATCCGTCGATTTGATGTGTGCTTCAAGAACCTGGCCCAAACAGACAAACTGTGAGCCAGGAATCCAAACAAACAGTCTGAGAAACCAAGAACCATCCTTGGCAAGTTAAGTTTGTACCATCACTGTGGCCCAAGCATGTAAGGCAGTCTCCATCAGTCCACGTTTGTGCTACTGTGATGCTGCAACTGAGAAATGAAACCAAACATCTGTGTGTAGGGTGTTGTGCTACTGTTTGACCTTAAAACGTGATTGATTCACTGTGTCATTACTGTATGTAACACACTGCATTCAAATTACAGCTTAAAGCTGGGAAACTATCAGGTCTTTCTGTGGGTGCTCCACAAAAAATGTGCCTGTGTGCATGTGTGCATGTTGCTCAGTCAGAGGGTGTATATACTTGATGAGTTACTTTATATACGTATCTGCAAAGCTGTGGTGTATACTGATAGTGGGGTGTGTTGCTAAAATGCATTTAGTTGGGTTGAACCTTCACTACATAACTGCTCACACTTCTCTTTGCTTATGTTAAGCTCAAATGTCTCCAAGCAACTGAAAGGACAAAAGTCCGGCACTGTGGTGTTGTTGATAATTTAGTTTTCATCATAAGTGATGACAGAAAGGTTAAAATCAATACAAATATTGCTCTTTCTGTGAAATGACTCACCTTACTGTCTTTATTACAAAGACAAACAGCTCTGTTCTGTAAGTGATTTGTGAGAATAAATCTGGGAATCTTTTATGACTGTAGATTGAGATGTTAGCGTATACATTACAATAAATCTACATTTTAATAAACCGACAGCAGGTAGACTCATTCTTCTACTCCTGACCATCTGCACTCTCTACAATATAAACAATATTACTGTACTACAGGAGTAAAATAAGCAAACAAGATTGCTCAGCTCTTTGAGTTTGTAAAAAAACAAGTGATATTACCATCACTGATGACCCTGACACATATGCTATCTGAAAATGCAAGCCAATAGTTTCCATGGCAATTTTCTACAATTCAATAGGGAAAAATTAAACACTGCCATTGACTTTTCTGAAGGATACATCAACCTACATGTTCCAATCCAAATTAAACCAAAAATTAAATCACTCACTAATTTCTCAATTGTAGGATATACACAGCAATACACATTTTAAGGTGAAGGTTATGTACCTATGAGAAGCTGTTCAGGTTAACATAACCCAGTGTAACATGGTGCCTGAGGCTGGATTGTCTACGTTTGTCTACGCTGAAACTGCATTCAACAAAACTGCCAAACTTAACTTATTATTATACTAATTTCATTTTTAATTAAACCAAAGAAGTTATAATATAATTATATTATTACATAATACTAATATAATTCAAATGAATAATTAATTAAAAATACAGTGATGGAGAAAGTATAGCCCAGTCATCAGTGTTTAACTGTGTCACTGACAAATAATGATGTATTTTACCTAAAGGTCAACCGCAGACGACCTTGATCTCTTTGTATCTAGAAAACCAAACTAATTTACTGTCATTCACATTTAATAGCTACCCTCTTGAATGTTTAAAATGTGCTTTTCATTATCCCAATGATTTCATATTTATTTTTAAGTTACAGTTATAATGACAAACTACTTGTCATGTCTGACAATTAAAGCCAAAGGTATAAGGTATCATCTAAATTGATCCAGCCGACAGCTCTCAATCTGCACTTTAGTAGCTGCTGAGCTAACATTATGTTAGCTAACATTATACTTTCACAGACTGGCAGAACAAGCTGCTGCTCAGCCACTCCGAATGCTCCAGAGTCTGATTAAGTTGATTCAAATATGTTTGTTGATGTGCTTAAAAGTATAACTGAGAGATTCAGACTGTTATTTACAATTGACTTGCATTAGCTCTGGGTCAGTACTTGACTGCTGTCTAGCTAGAACACATGTGGTTGGAAAATTACAAGTGCAGGAAGTTGATGGTAGAGTCAACCTCCTGAGATATAGAGTCTGCACACATATGAATATGACTACATGGTAGTTTCACATATCTACTAAAAAAGGATCACGAAATAAACCCATGCTCTAATAAACAAAGGACCTGTCAGATCACACATCAGAGAAACACGCTCACACTGTGCGAGTGTGCATGTCTTTTATGTTGGTTGGTGATGTTGGTGATGCTGGTGGAGAGGGTATTGTCTAATAATACATTACAAGACCACAGTTTTGCCATTTTTTTCAACAAAAAAAAATATATAAAAGGAAGCAGCTCTTTTGTCTGGCCTGTATCTCAGAGGGTGCAAGTTAGCTTATTATTACTGGAAAAATAAAAGTGTGTTAATGAAAGCAATAGCAGGGAAGGAAGCTTCTTGAACCACCTGTTTAACATTTCCATATTCAGTGAAGAAGAGCTCAGGTTCCCATATGAGCACCTTGCCATCTGTTTCAAAAATATATATTTTGGTATTCAACCACTGTGCATGCTTTGCTAAACACAGACACCTCAGAGCCTGCTAATTTCAATGTCTGCAATTACAGTTTGTGCAATATACTGTATATTTGCTGTATATTTATTTTTTCCTCTGTTAAATAGAAACAAACCTGCTTTAAAGTGAGAATACAAACAAACAACTGAGTGGCATACATTTAAGTGACAGTTCTAAAAAACAACAATCAAGACTACACTTCTCTATTAGAATTCATAACACACTAGCATGACTACAACACTGATGGAAATTGTATCTTAAATCAATTATAGCAAGGACCATTAGTGTTATCAGGACATGCAAACATAATTTTGATGTGTCTGTTAAGGGAGTTCTCAGCAGCTTATCAGAAATAAAACCAACAAAGAGTCACCTAATCAGGAGATAAAGACAAAGAATCACTGTAGGCTTAACTCATGCACCAAATGCACAGTGAATATGCAGCAATAAGGTCTACCAGCACCATTTCATCATTAGTAGCTATTTTTGTTCTCATAAATCCTTTCTCTTTATTTTCAAACCTACAAATTTCTCACCCGTGTTTCAGTTGCCACTGACAACATGCTACCTAAACGCAATGCAGATAAATTGTTTACTGTTGTCATACTGACATATAATACAAATAGTGGCACGCTAGTCAGTTAGGTCACTAGTGTTAATTACTGTAAAAGTCAAGTTCAATTTATACTTCTTAATGATTCCACATTTTTCAGCCCAGATCATTATTACTGATTGTGTGAAGCTTAGTAAATGTTTGCAATTGTTGTACAGCGGTTTCTTTTGTTGTGTATGGGATTGAGTATCTGTGGACCCCAGCAGATCTTGTGACCTGTTGTTTATTTTATTTTGGCCTCGTCACCAAAGTCACCACAAAGGGCCCATCTAGTCGTGAAGTGGTGCTATGACAATCATGAGTTTAAACCTACACTGAGTAATAAAATCAATGCCTACGCTGGAGGCAACTTCAGCGGGACTGTGGGAACACTTTGATGGAGCTGCAGAAATATGGCTTATGTCTATCTGAGGACTAAAGAGCAAACCAGACAAAGCCTTATTTGAATAGAGAGGGTACTGTTTTTTCCATATTTTCTATCTAAAACACATGACTCCTTTTTCTCATAACCAAGGCTAATTGAATAAATTAAGAATGAATCATGGGAACACTTACTGTACGTCATTGGGACGTCCTCAGCTAACTTTCTATGACACATATCCATTCACTAGGTAGGGGGATCTAAACTGTAATCAACTAATATGGATGCCAAAACCAAGACGTCACGTTATAATTGCAGAAGCACACTTATAAATGTGCACTTAAGTAAAACAAGAATAAAACATTAGCATATTAAAATAGTATTAGAATATTAACACTGCAATGTTGAAAACAATACCTGTCATATTTTAAGTATGTTGTTTCTTGAAACAAATTGAGAAATAATGTGTGTGGGAGAGGTGGTATGGTGAAAAGAAAACAAGATCGTTATTAAGCTTTCACTAAATAGGGAGATACGTGTTTAAGATGGTCAAAAAACAAATGTATGTGACTGTACAGATATATATAAAATATGTGTGTTAATATTGTCTACAGGGAAACAGTGCAAGGTAAATAAAATGAAATTAAAGAGACAAACAGGCAGGGAATTACAGCAGTGTTTATGGAGGACCCTCTGGTCTGTGCATAAACAGTATTGTACTGTTGTGGAAAGGAGGGAAAAACGAGGTCGGGTACTTACCCAAATTTTAACACTACGTGACGGTGGGGGCTACAGGATCAGACACCTGGAAAGAAACACAGTATAATTATACAGCTCAGAAATTAAAGCAGCAGAAATGTAATATGTAAAACAAAGAGACAGTCATTTAGGGCAGAATGGATCTGGATCAGCTCATTTAAACCGTCCGATATTGGGTTGCAGCAGCTGTTTGGGTGTTTAATTCATCTCAGCTTCTTTTATTCAATTGTTTACTTTAAGAAAGTTAGCATTAAAGTGCAGCTCTAACTCCTAAATTGAAATACTAACTTTTGACTGCAGGGGATACATTCAAAAATGATAATTGTGACTGAAATTTCTATTTCTGGTGTTGTGAATGTCCTACATTCTGTTTAGATACAGGTAAGGGTGGGGGTGGAATGATTTTTGTCTCCAGGGCCCAAAGATGTGTATTCCTCTTGCTGAGGAATTCTTTTGTTCTGATAAATTGACATTGTCAGTTTCCCACATTGCCACAGTGTGGCATATACTATAGGGAGCAGTGGTGGGAACACATGCTACATACGATTGGCGTCAGTCAATGTGACAGTTCCTGTTTTTTTATTTTCTTTTGAGGGAGGGGGGTCTATTTTTCTAAATCTGAACTTCCAAGTCGAGGAAGCAGGAAGGAATAGGAATTAATACACCTACACTCCCCTTCTCCCTTCAGAATGGCAAAAATCTCTTTGTACCCACATCATAATTACTGGTGGGCGCCAGTTCGGGATTGTTATCTGTGCCTCCTTCTCACTTTTTTTGCAAGTATAACACAATGTTTTGAGAACATGCAACTGACAACTAAGTCTTTTCTCAACTTCACGTCAGTTTCTTTACGCTGTGCTAATGTTAAGGAACAAGTATTGCTTGAAGTGGCGTTCCTTGTTGTAGCATATGCTCCCTATTTTCAGAGGCTCTGTTGTTCCACAAGCACAGCGAGTAGCCGTGCGCAGAGGAAAAGTAACCAGCAGCCGGGGTGCTGGGGACATGTTCCTCCAGGGAAATGATGTTGATGAACAAGCTCTATTTTGGTGCCTTTACATGCAGTCTGACACTCTTTTTTGATGCTATTCAAAATGCAGTCTCAATTACGGAGTAATTTTAATGTGTTTACCACAAAAACTATTTTACTTTCCACTTTTAATTAGGAGTTTTAGTGTTGAGAACCGAACAGTGGTGTATACTTTAAGTTACCACAGAAAGAGAATGCTTCTCTTAACGATCAGTTAAATGTGGAAATGCACTTTCACTTATTAAAACAGTACATCAGAAGACAGAGAAATAACCTAATGGAGTCTAAATATTTTCTTAAACCAACCATTGCAACATTGTGAATAAATGTGCAAATATTAGAGCTGAAACGTTGATTATCAACAGAAAGTGAATCTGCAACCATTTTGATAATCTATCATTTAACTCAATAATCAAGTCAGACAATGCAAGACATTTGTTCACAACTTCTGATTTTATACCCTTGAGGATTAATCAATTAAATGGGAAAAAAAATGAAAAGCAATTGTTAGCTGTAGCCCCAGTGAGTGTAGCTCCGCCAATATAAAACAGTGGGGTAATCAAAGGTGTTATCAATGACACTAACTGAGGTTCTGTTCCATTTAGTGTAGCAGAGCCTTTTCCAGTGAGCCAACAGCAGCACCCTGACTCTGTTTGACCTGAGTGGAACGGAACCTTAATTAGTATCACTGGTAGCACCTGTTTACACCCTGCTATTGTATGTCAATATTGCTGTCGGTGTGGAACTACCAAAAATAACATCATATAAAAACATATTTTTCTCACATTTTCCTTAGTGATCGCTAGCCTTGCAAATAGCTGTACTTCTAATTGCTGAAGCTTTGACATAACTGCCAATTAGACTTCTGCTGTCACCCCAATACCAAGCAGGTAAATGGAACAGAATTTGTTGTTCTCAAAGCATTGAAAGGCGACAGAAACTCTACAACAACTTTTCTTTTCTAGTAAGAATACTAAAGAGCTCATCGTCAGCACTCTTTGTTGGGACAAATCTTGTAACAAAAGGTAGAAAAATAGTTAAAACTGTCTACTCTCCAATAGCATCATCAGCTTTCCCCCCAATGTACTACTATCAAGGCCAAACTTGTGCTGTTACCACAACTACTGTGCCATCCACCCATACAGAGCTGAGTGAGAAAGTAACAGCTAGCTGGGGACCTTATTAAGTCTTAAGGAAATATGCCTCACTTCCTGTTTGCGTGTCTTGCCATCAACTTAAATGGTGCACCATTTCTATGTGGTTTGGATATTTTATTTATACCTTTATTTACCCAGGCTGGATTTACTGAGTGCTAATAATTTTTTTCAGCAACTCCACCCCTCGCACATGCAGTGATAAACACTTACTCCTGGAACCTTCTTAATACAAACAACAGTCTATTATTTAAGAAAAAGACTTGATATACTAACATCAATATCTGACCAATTGCTTTGATTTTTTCTCAAAGAAGTGGTGGGACTTGAAACCTATCCACTAAAATTCGATTGATCTTAGGTTTACTGTCTCTGGGCTACAAATCTTAACAAAAACAAAAGGGTTTCAGCACGTTCTGTGCCAAGACATCTGGGGACAAAGCCAGCAAAGACAGTGTTGTGTAATTGGTGATCTGGACAGATATTGTGGAAAGCGCAGGTCAGACGGGCTCATGGGTTTTTGTTTGTCTCTCAGTTGCCAACTGTAGCCAGTCCCAATAAGTTTAAAGCAGAACTGAGCAGAACTGTAACTTTGCTGGTACTAGAGGCGCCTATAAGGCAGTGGTAGGCAAATAGCAGCAGTGCCAAAGAAGATTTTCACTTTCATAGTTTACATCAAAATGTACATGATTTGACATAAATCTGCTATAGATAACCATGTAAATACAAGGTTCATGTAAATCCTAATAAATATGACCAAGATTAAGTGAGGCATTCAAACCTAACCTGACTCCTGAGCCTCGTTCTGCACCAACGTATCTGAACCTGGTGCTGAAATATATATACAAATATATACTTTATTTGAATGAAACAAGTCCCTTTTTAAAAACGGACCAATGTGTAGAATTTTGTGGTGAAGCTGCAGATTGCAACTAAATGAACACAACTCGCATCTGTATTTGACCACCTGGGAATGAGAGCGGGCTGTGAAGTTTATAGGAGAAACTATGATGGCAGCGAAACTCACAAAAAACGCAAAAGGCCCTATGTACAGCCAGTGTTAGTTTTATTAATGAAAACAAACCTGTGAATATTATTCTCCATTTCTGGAATAGATCCTCCTAAATGTTACACACTGGACCTTTAAACTGCTTAATTTAACTATCACAGATTTGCTTCTTACAAACACAAATAATGGGCAGTGTAAAATAAATGGCGTGCTGGTGATATTTTTTCTAAGCCAACAAGAACAACAGCTCTTTCATTCAGTCGGAATTGAATTGACCAATGGTTGAACTGTTGACCTCTGCTGTAAGAGACACTTGAATGTTACTTTCTTGTGATCTTCTAATGTGTATCAAGACCAAAAAAGGCCAAATAAGACCCAGACAGAATTCCCACTCCACAATATGGAACTACAGTTCCTATAATGCTTTGTGAGATGTAAATAGGAATAATATATATAATATTATAATATAATGTTGACATGGTTTCAGTGAGTTTTGCTTAGGGCTACAACTTGAGCCGCATTTTTTTAGCCAATATTTGTTAACATTTTTGCGATTTGGCACCATTAAAGTATGCTAAATTAGTAATCAGCAGTTCCTGTTTGCAATGTACCCATGGATGTACAATCAACTACAACTGGATAACTTTGATAGTGAAGAAAACTTAAAACCATGATGATTTTCAGGCAAGTTCTGGAGTTACGAGAAGCATTTCTCTTTAATAATTTAAAGTATAATGATATCCTCTGGAAGTTACATTGCATTTAAAACTATGTGTATCATGTCTATATATTCAGATTTTACTGAGATATGAGTCAGAGAAGAAGTACAATTTTGACATAAATTAAAGCAATCAGATGCTAAGGGTTTTAAAGGGCTACACGTGTGTCACAGATGCTGCTGCAGTTCCAACTTCTGACCGTCTTAAAAACGGGTGAAATCATCAGGTCAGACTACAATAACTTCCCATTGACCTGTCCCTTTCCCCTCTCGCAGAATCTTCTTCTCACGCCTCTCCCTCCAAAACCCCCCTTCAACTCTCCCACGGCCCCCTGGGAAGGAGCGCCTCGCAGTCTGAAAACCTCTGTCTTGCAGAAATTAAGCTTTAGAGGACACAAAATCTTAGCCAAGTTTGTAAAGCAGTCATGTGACAGCAATAATAAATAAAACACCAATATTGCCAATAAGTCAATAACCAAGTAAAAAAAGTCTTTAGCCCATTGTGTACCCATTTTGAAAATACTGCCTACCACTGACCACCACAACCTAACCTGGACTACTTTTCAATTGCTGGAACTGACCTTCCACAACTGCAGCTAATTAACCATGCATTTCCTACAATACATTAGATTAAATTGAGTTAAATAGGTTATTCATAAAGATTTGCCATCACACCACAGACCCTCAGAAATGTACAGGCATATTTTTTAAAAAGTCAAATAAAATGAACCAATTTCATTCAATGCCAAATCCATTATGATAACTTAGGTTAAACAATTTTCAGCCTTGTAGACCGAGGGAAAAAAACACAATGAGTTAAAAACTCAAATTATCAAACCCATTAAACATTCAGATAGAGTAATTTGCTATCAAACACAAGTGATCATCCAAGTACATTAGACCATTAACACATTTCTAAAGACTCCCAATCTGTCAAAGAAATGTAATTTAGGCCCTGAAAAGGTCTTTATTTATCAGGTTATGATGGACGGGCTTGAAAGAGACTAAAAACAAGTGCACATGTGTCACATTCTTCCTCTAACTCTCATCTTGGTCTTCATGCTGCACTTGGGATCATTCAGCTATTTTTACAGGTTATATATGATGTGTTTGAACACTCATGAAGCATTTTTTTAAC